AAACATTTTGTCACAATTAATAGGTGTTTGATTTTTCTTTCCAAAGAAAAATTAGATTTAAAAATAAAAAAGAAGTAAAGAATTTAAATGTTTTACATATATTTGGCCTTATCACACAAAACTATCAGATGTCATGTTGGTAGTACTTCAAAATGTAATTTAAATTTGATTCCCAATTAAGACTAAACAATATTGTTTACAAAAAAGAATATTTTAAAACATATATAACTAATCTAGCAAATATTGAACAGCTACTATATGTGACTCACTGTATTAAGAAATAGAGATATATCACTTTAAAAAGTGATGCAATGACAATTATTGTTGCCATCTCAAGTTACACAGAGACATCCCACAGGCTAAGTGTTTGTTGTCAGCATGGGCTACATTGTAAAAAATATCCTGAGATTCCAGAAAGCACATTGTTGTACAGTAATTCCATGCATTCTGAGAGACAGACTTCAGTAAAAAGTTAACTACTTCTATGCAATGTTTTATAGATTTGAAGACTAGAGTTGTAATCATAAACTAAGAGCTCCATTTGACTTAACTTACTAATTTTTATTATTATGTCGTTTGTTCTTGTAATAAAATTAAGAGTATAACTTGTGATTCCTATCTTCTAGTCATGTTCTGGGTATACAATGATATTTGGGTATAAAAAGACTATTCTGTTAGTTCTAAAAAGGATTGCTACCTCATTTCCAAATTCACTGGACAATGTCCAATATCCCTTTTCTTAGGGCCTATTCCTTTTGAGCATTCCTCTCAGTACTCTGTCCTTCTTTGGGTTCTGCTAATCATTTATATTGGGTTCTGCTTGCACATCTTGCTGGCAAATGCCAGTTCCCTTACCTTGATCAATCTCCATGACTCCACTGCTTTTAAAATGTAGGTTCCACTTTTTGTCTTTTCTCTCCTTGTTTGACCCATCCTTCCTTAGTGACCACTGAGTCATCAACTATGTGTATTTTCTGTCCTGAGTACCTGACCCAGGGTCGTGTACTTGTCAAAACTGAATTTCCTTTCTTTCCTGACTCTCACTCACAGCGTTTCCTAATGTCCTGAGATAGCACAGTACTTGGCATATCAAAGTGATATTTTAGTGAGTTGAGAGTATGTTAAAACACAAACTGCTTAGAGTTTGCAATTCTAATTCAGTACTAGGTCCAAGTGGAGAATACAAATGTGCCTTTCTGACATCCCAGGTGGTACTGGTATTTGACCACTGCCCTCTTGAGAACCATTAGCCCACAGCAATCAATTAACATTTGTTAGATCAATAATTTCCATGTCAGTGAATGGTTAAAATGCATAGTATAGTGTCAGAAATCAAACTTGACTCAGTATGAATAAATGATAAGAAATAACTATAGAAATTTTGTTCTGAAGGAACAAGGTAGATTGTTTGGCCTCACACCCTCTTGCTGCAGATTAGGACATTGAAGCCTAATGGGATGCAATGAATTTTGTAAGGAAAAGAACTGGATTTCAACCAACACTGACTTGCCTTAAAAATAAAATAAGTTTCACGTGTGATATTTGTATGCATTTTCCAATTCCAAAGACAGACATGGAGCAGCTAATTTTTCCTCTAGATGACTAGACCTTTTGCACATTCACACCGATTTTCTCCAAATGAATACCACGCAGTGAAATGTTAACACTGTCTTTTATACCCCTAAGATGCATACAAATAATTGAGAAATCTAGAGCTCAGTGTTCTAAGGCTGAAAATCCTCACCCCTCCAAGCATTGATTGGGCAGGAAGCATGTTGAGAAGGGTAAGCAGAGACTGCTGGACACCGGCTGGCAGTGAATTCTTTATTTGGCCAGAACGGAAAGGACTTTCATCACTGTTGACAGAGTCCAAGCTGTAGTGGTCCTATTGTCTGACACTGTTTTATTTTCCCAAGTCCGGGTGTTTGACACGACTCATCGGATGCCATACTTGCTCATAGGGGGCTTTTGTTTAAAGGCAAAGGGACCACACAGCAGAGAAAGAGACACAAATAAGCATCAGAAGCCAATGTTTTTCCCAGAGTGAGCTCCCCATGGGTGAGCACCCGGGGTGAGCTGTCTCTGGTTTCTTCCATCAGGATCTGTGCAGGGAGCCTGGTTTGGGGAGCGCTCACCCACAAAGCTCCCAGAGCTTTTGATCTAGTTGAGCCAGACTAGTTAAACTGTTATCTGGGAAATTGGGGGTACTCTTTCTCACTGGGTGCTGAGTGTGGGGTCCTTATTGATATCTTGAGAAAAAGAATTTTCTGAGTCCTGCATGGGAGGATGAGTGGTTTTTATTTGTGAAATTACACCCCTTGATTTCCAAAGTCCCATTCCAGTCATAGAAGTATAGCTGGGGGTTCAGTAGAGCTAAAAGCAAAGCCAGTGTCAGAGTTTCCATTCCATGTTGCACCCAGTCCAATTCAGCATCAGGCTAGTTCCAGTCCATTAGATCAGTGTGTGGGGGGACAACATGATCATGGGTCATGTAGGCCAGTGTCAGGAAGAGGAGTGATAGAGCCACACAAGGCAGGAGTCAATTGTTCCACTCCACGAATTCCAATATGTGATGGATTAAATACCCTAATTTCATGCCCTGCCATGGCCACGCCCATTCTGGCCAATGACCTGTTCCCAGGTGTGACTGACAAACAAATACCTTCCCAATGCCACCCCAACTCCACTGGGCATGTGTCTGTTCTCCTTCTGCAGTCCCATGCCCCAGTGATCTGCAGGGAATAGACCGATGGCTCCTAGGGGAGAGTAAAGCTTTAGCTTCCTGGCGAAACTGCCCAAATGATATGTCTATAATATTTGACCTTCCCTTTGCGCTTTTCCTGGTATTAATAACTAGGTTAATTACAATGGTATAAAACTCAAGTCAGTTGTAAATTAGTTGTAAGTCATGAATGCAGAAGTTAACCTAGGGGTTTCCAGTGGCATTTTAAACCCTGAAAAGTCCACCACATGTTCCACTGTCCCCTTTTTGTCTAAGTAAAAAGTAGGCACAGAAATGTCTCCAGAAATAAAGGTAGAGCATTTCCAGACCTGGTGCAAATCAGCTTCACCCTCCAGAGCCGTCCGTAGAGAAAGCCATGGGAGTTGCTTTCCTATGGACCAGCTGGTGAGGGCCCAGCAGACCGAATCCCGGTTTCCAGAAGTGAGCTAGCATACAGAGATTAGGCAGGAATATGGATTGGGAGCTCTTTGGGAAATATTAACTCTGTACTTCTCAGGCACTTACTAGAAGTCATTTATAGACAATGGCTGTCACAGCATCGGTGCCTAAAATTCAAAATGCTTAAATAGTAATCTAGTTGCTTCATATATATATTCTTTTGTGGGCTTTAATACTTCAAGGGGATAAGCTGGTGACCAAATAAAGGAATTTTCATGACAAAATTGTATTTCATTAGAACAATGGTCGGCAAACTCATTAGTCAATAGAGCCAAATATCAACAGTACAATGATTGAAATTGTACTGTTGAGAGCCCAATTTTTTAAACTTAAACTTCTTCTAATGCCACTTCTTTAAAATAGTCTCTCCCAGGCCGTGGTATTTTGTGGAAGAGCCACATTCAAGGGACCAAAGAGCCTCATGTGGCTCTCAAGCCACAGTTTGCCAACCACTGCATTCAACGATACTAATCTTTCAAAGGGAATATTCAAACAATATGAACTTTATATGTAAGGAAAGTATGTGACAAAATTGAAGGAATTCAATTGCTGTTGTTCATTAGCTGTGCCTGTTATCAATTATAATTATAATCACAAGAAGTGCAGACAAGGAGGCAGAAGACCTAGATTTTCTAGACTGAACTCTGCTAACTGGTAGATGTGAGGAAAAAAAAAAAAACTTTCCTTGATAATACATCAAATGTGTTTTGTTTAAGGGAAGAATAATATTCCAGTATCTTTATCTGGTTTTATTACTCACTGTTTTTTTATAATCAATTTTATTTCTGTACAATGAAACTAATTTTGAGAGCTTTAACTCATTTTTTCTCAAAGCATGGCATCATAATTACCTGTTTTTGAAACATTAAATGCATTTTTCAAATGTAAAAGTGATGAGTCATCTGGGGTCCTTCTAAGATGTAGGTGCTGATTTCATAGATCTGGGATGAAGCCTGAAATTCCCTTCTAATAAGCTCCCAGGTAACACTGGTGCTACCATGTCCTGTTTAACTAGCAGGGATGTTTTTAAAAATAGTGACTCTGTGTGTGTAAGGGAGCATGTGTGCAAATTCACAGGGGCCTGTATATCGAGGGAATCATCTCAGAGTTAAGCCTGAAGATCTGCATTCCCAAAGAACAACCCCCCACCTAAGTTTATAAATACCCAAGTTTAAGAACTTCTTGGTTAAATGAACTTAACTGTCTGAGTTAACTTCCTGCTATAAAATTAGGTGGATCTAGTCTCACCCTTGTGTTCTCTTGGGTCCTAAATTGAAGCAGGACACATTCTCTTATTTTGCAAGGCATCTGTTTCTTAACTTGTGAACAGGTGCCAAGCTCTCTGCCTGGATGTTCCAAATTGAATTAGGTCTGCTCTTTCCCTATAAGGTCTGAGATAAAACTTTTTATTGTCCAAAGTTACCAGATTCTTTCTTCAAATTAAGACTCAAGGAGCAACTTCAAACTTCTTTTGGAACTCAGCTAAAAGTGAAATTTAAAAAAAAATGTGTGTGTGTATGTGTAAAATTTTTATTTTTACCCCATCACTGGCTTTTCTGGGGCTACAACCTTAAACTCACTCTGAAATCCTTTTGTGCCTTCTCTCCATAACATCTCAGGTTATACAGGAAAGATTTACCTAAATAAGTACCTTCTACAATATGTGACACAGAATAATGACATTAAAACCTAGTACATGAATTCCTTCTTTCTTTTTGTTATTGTTATTCAGGTGTTATTGAATATAGCAAAGTAACATGATGATTTCTTATTCAGCCTATCAAATGGTTCTCATTTTCTTTTTTTCCTGTCCTTACAGTATAAGCAAGTGGAACAATACATGTCATTCCACAAGTTGCCAGCTGATATGCGTCAGAAGATTCATGATTACTATGAACACAGATACCAAGGCAAGATCTTTGATGAGGAAAATATTCTCAATGAACTCAATGATCCTCTGAGAGAGGTAAGGTTTCTAGTCCTGGACCTCCTCGGTGCGTGGTCATTGTCTTCTTTCTCTGTCCATGGGAAATCCTGAGGTGCATGCTATCACATTGCTCAAAAGAAATATTAGAATTAAATGATAAGACATCGTTTTTTGCCCTGATTCTTTATTATGTTTTCCCATACACATGTTTTTTATTGTTAAAAAAAACATACTGAAAATTGCCCAGGTGGCATTACTCAGTGGTTGAACATCAACCTATGAGCCAGGAGGTCATGGTTTGATTCCTGGTCAGGGTACATGCCCAGGTTTCGGACTCAATCCCCACTGTGGAATGTGCAGGAGTCAGCCAATTAATGATTCTCTCTCTTCATTGTTTCTATATCTCTCTTCCTCTTCCTTCCTCTCTGAAATAATATATATATTTAAAGTAAATACTGGAAATTGTTTTAATTATGATTTTCAGAACTATTTAGTTCTGTATCCCCAGTTATGAAAATTCCTTCATGTGTCCTGATTGTCCACCTCTTACCAATCTTCCACCTTCTTATATCATTATTACATACTGTTTCTTTATCTTTCTGATTTCCACTCTTTTTTCATGTTTATTTTTCCTGTTCATCTCCTAGATTCACTCACAGATTCAATCACTCACTGTTGCAAGTAATTAATTATAATCTCATTACAACACTTCTTTGTTTTGTGTCTTCTTTCCATCCTTCCCCAGAAATCTCCCCTCTGCCTACTAGAATGTTCAGGTCACCCCTGGATCGAAAGAATATTTTCTTTAATGTTCATATTTCTTACAATGCTTTGCTCTGTTTTCTTTCTTTTACTACCAACCTTGTCAAAAAATTCCCAATATAATCTTTGCATTGTGATTTGATCACATCTTTACCAAAACTATTCCCTTGAAAGTTATCAAAGACCTGTTAATCAAGGCTTTTGCTTTTGAGCCCTGTTGGTAACATTTAAATTGTTTAAAAAATACACATCTGAATTGTGTGTGTGTGTTTTTGGGGGAGGGGCAACTTAAGTACTGAATCATTACTGAGTCATTGACTTGACATTCTGCCTTTCTGAATTTACTCTTTTCTATTTATTTGACCTCACACTTCCATTCTGTAAAATTGAGCTCCAAGTGCTTGCCATAAACTCTAGTTTCTTAAAAGCTACATAATACCACCCATCCTCATATGTAAGATAAGCTATTTCATAAAGTAATGTAATCATTCAATGCTGAAACATTTATCTTTTGAAATCTCTATAAATGTTTTAGTCATTTTCTCACATTCATGTGGAATATAAAACTTTGGTCCTTTCTTTGAAATTTTTTCCACTCTTCAATCAATCATCAAATGCTATCAATTAACTGTGGTAAACATCTTATGCTCAGACCCTTGTCTCTTTTCTCAATGCCATCACCCTAACTGTGTTCCTCTCAGAGGGAGTAGCTGCACCATAGCTAGTTGAATTCCATCCTTTAGTCTGTTTTCTCTACCACTGAAAATTTTACCAACGCCAGATTAATCTTCCTTTATGATTACAAGCTGATCATTTCTCTGCTCTGAAACTTTGTCTTTCCATTCCAAATCAAATCACATAAAGCCCCTTAAGCTCCCATCCTAACTCTTCTGTGTAGGATATCTGCTATGCTAATGATTAGCTTGTATTCTCAATAAAGTCCTCAACAAATAGAAATATGTAAATCTTTTTTGCATTGGGAAACAAAATTCAATTTTTTTTTTATATTTTAAAAAAGTAAGATATTATTTGTTTGTCTTTAAATATCTTTATATGCTTAGATTTTTCTCTTGGTTGGATTTCAGAATTTGTATTAAATCCAAATCCCCTTCACTGAAGGGTAGGATATTGGAAGCAGATTGGGTTCTGAGGCCTGGTGAGATTTCAAGGAGGGTGGGTTAGGCCATAGCAGAGAGACACAGGTAATCCCAGAGACAGTATCAGGGATGAAGACAGATCAAAACACAGGAGGCTACAATAAAACTAAGGATTTAGTTTAAATTAGCAGGAGAAGTAAGGATTCCAGAATCAAATGTTATGGAGGAAATACAGAAAGAGATAGAAAAAGTGAGCATAAAATAGACCCTAAGAACTTGAATGCTTAAATGCAGATCATTCCTCTGTGCTACAAATTCTCAATGTAATGCAAAATCAGGATAACAAGAAAATGTTCCTAATTATGTGTTTTACTATCTGCCCTTGCCACTCTTTCATTTATTCTGATCTTCAGTAGAAAAATATTCCACTTTCATTTTCCCTCATAATGCCATCCACAGGCAGAGCTCCCATTTCCTCATTTCCTGCAACTGTTCCATCATTAAGCAGTAATGAATTGTTTTCTTTGTATTTTCAAATGTCATAATTCAGGGTCTCAGCATATTTTATTTCAACTGCTGAAGTGCACTCTCAACTTTTCTCCCTGCCTTTCATCTCAGTGGAAAAAAGTAAGGCTACTATAGACTGATATAAAACTCAAGTTTAACGATGTTACTCTGTTCTTAGAACCTGATCATGACCTTCTATCTCATGCAAAAAAAAAAAAAGTCAACTTATTGACATGGCACATAGGTGCTTCATGGCCTGACTCCATCTTCATTTCTTTACATTCTTGCTTCATCAGCTGAGAATTGTTGATAATTTGGGAGGAGGAGAGGGGTTGAGGGGAATGCTATTGATTGCCCCTTTGCCTTGCTTCATGTTACCCTCTCTATCTTCAGTCCTTTCTGCTCATCTTACCTTCTTCTTTTCATTAAACATTCTTGCAGGGAACAACATTCTTCCTAAATTCTAAGCTGGGATCAAACCTGCAACCTGGTTTATGTGCCCTTCCCAGGAATCAAACCCATGATCTTAGGTGTATGGGATGACCATACTGAGCCACACTGGCTAGAGCAAAACTAGAGCTTTTTGAGTGAAGAGACTGTGTCTTAATATCTTTGTCTCTCTAGTGACCAGTATATAGTAGGAACTTATTAAATATGTAATGAGTGAATGATCTTTAATAGAATTAAGAATGAAAAACAGGGTGAGAATCAAGGCTACTTAATAAATAGAGATCCTAGAAGTGGAAGCATGAAATCTCACACAAGTAACACCTAAAAAAGGTGACAACAATGTTCTCCAATTGTTTATTTGCTCTTCACCCTTTGCTTTTCTGGCATTGGACTCACACAAAAGCCTAAATTTAATGTATACTGAATTAAAAATTAACTAGCAAGGAAGCCGGATGAGCAAGATAGGAAAGTAGGGAAAGGCATCTGCAGGGCCATACCCTAGTAGAAGTCTATTCAAATACACCTTAAATCTAAACAAGCCAGACATGTTTTCTGAAGAAAAGCTCAATAAGAAATATGGGGGATATATAGTGCTTTCTATTACATAGGAGTGTTATATATCAGCTACCAGTATGTTCAACTCATAGTGATAGATCATGAGACATATTTGGAAAATAGTGAAATACATTATTCCACCTTCCAAAAGCTGCACTTCAATTGGAAGATGAGGCACAAGCTTATGCAAAAGTCTATCTCGGTCACTGTTGTGCCTCTAGTGTCAGAAGTTACCTGTCACATAGAAGACATTGAATGATTGATATGTCAAATGTCATATTAGTGAAACTAGGACGCGCATAAAGGGAGGGTTGGATTCTTTGATATATGTCCTGTGACAGAAGGTAAAAATATATGGTGTGCTTGGTATACACATACACACACCATGTACAATTGCTGATTGTGTCCGTACAATTTTGAATCAACAACCATGATATTTGGTTTTTTGTGTGTTTTTATATATATATATATATATATATATATTATTGATTTTTTAGAGAGAGGAAGGGGGAGAGATAGAGAGCTAGAAACTTCGATGAGAGAGAGTCATCAATCAGCTGTCTCTTGCACATCCCCCTCTGAGGATGTGCCCGCAACCAAGGTACATGCACTTGACTGGAATCGAACCCGGGACCCTTCATTCCGCAGGCTGACGCTCTACCCACTGAGCCAAACTGGTTTCGGCAACAACCACGATATTTATAATAAGACTTTTAGCTTAAAATGCTTTATTATCTGGAAAGCTCATTTTTATGAAAGTATTTTACATAATTTCAGATTCTAAGGTATACTTAAGAGCAGTGAATTTTGCTAATACAGTCTAGATACTCAGGAATGTATAAAAGTGAACATAAAGTCCTACCTTCAGACTCTCCAAAACTTACACACAAAAAAAGACTATTGCTTAAAAATAGTGAAGCTGCCCTAACTGGTTTGGCTCAGTAGATAGAGAGCACCAGCCCACCGACTCAAGGGTCCCAGGTTCAATTCTTGTCAAGGGCATGTCCCTTGGTTGTGGGCACATCCCTAGCAGGGGGTGTGCAGGAGGCAGCTAATTGATGTTTCTCTTTCATTGATGTTTCTAAGTCTCTATTTCTCTCCCTCTCTGTAAAAAATCAATAAAATATATATATTTTTTTAAAAAAGAAGCTAAAATGCAATGTTTAGGAATATGAATGTCATTCTATATTTGTAATCAATTAAGATCACATTATGTTTTATCCACTTTATATCCAAGCCTTTCTTTTCAATGTGTTTGAAGATTTTTAAGTATGAAAAATTTTGAGTGTGTAAAATGGCAGAAAGAATTATGAGTGTGTGTGACTTTATAAAACCTTGCAAAAGTCTTGCATCGTGCATTTGCAAATGAATTCAGTTAGTAGACTTCTCAAAAGCACTGCTTTATTGAAAGCATTCTATTTCTATTTCTGTGGCTCAAACTAGATGCTTTACCTTATTCTTACGTTGAAGACAAATTGCTGAAATGCCCTCAACCTGGCTCCTTCTTAATGCTCAAATCTCTACACAAATGTCACCTCCTTATAGAGGCCTTCCCTGAAAAGGTCATCTAAACCAGTTCCCTGCATCCTTCTCACCACATCAGCCTTTTCCTTGTGTACACATCGCTCTATTGTCTTGTGGTCCCTTCATCGTTATTTCTTAATTGTT